GAGTACATACTCCTGGCTGTCATGGCCTTTGATCGCTATGTTGCCATTTGCAATCCACTACGATACCCTGTCATTATGACCAATCAGCTTTGTGGAATACTGGCTGGGGGTTGCTGGTTCTGTGGGCTCATGACTGCCATGATTAAGATGGTTTTCATAGCACGGTTGCGCTACTGTGGCACACCACATATCAACCACTACTTCTGTGATATCTCTCCACTCCTCAATGTCTCCTGTGAGGACTCTTCCCAGGCTGAACTGGTAGACTTCTTCTTGGCCCTCATGGTCATTGCTGTGCCTCTTTGTGTGGTAGTGACATCTTATGTCATCATCCTTATCACCATTCTCAAGATACCATCAGCTCAGGGTCGTTAAAAGGCTTTCTCCACCTGTGCCTCTCACCTGACAGTCGTAACACTTTTTTATTCCACAACGCTTTTTACGTATGCCCGTCCTAAGCTCATGTATGCCTACAATTCAAACAAAGTGGTGTCTATTCTCTACACTGTCATTGTTCCCCTCCTCAATCCTATCATATACTGTTTGAGGAACCGTGATGTAAAAATGGCTCTTAAAAAGACTATACTTTGCAATAGAAGTGAACCTGGGGGTGGTGTGGATTTCAGTAGCTAAAAACAAACAAACAAACAAAACACTTAAGAATTACACTGGAAAGATGACTCAGCAGTTAGGAGCACTGGAGCTCTTCCAGAGGACCTGAGTTCAATTCTTAGCACCTACATGGCAGTTCATAACCATCTGCTACTCCAGTTCCAGGGAGTGTAATGACCTCTTCTGGCCTCCACTGGCAACAGGCATGCACAAGGTACAGAGACAAGCACAACCAGAAACACATATAAAATAAAAGTAAATAAAAATAAATAAATAAACTTTCAGAATTCTTTCTGGCATAAGTAGGCAGATGACCACCATACATTTCCTCAGTCTGACTTGCATTTATTTATCAACTACATAGTACTGTTAAGACTTTTTTAAATTATAGATAAAATTCAATGTAATAAAGTAGAATATATTTACAATATATACAATGATTTATTAAAATCCTTTCAAATAAATTTGTGTGTGAGGGTGGTATGATCATGTGTGTTTGTGTGGGGTGGTGTATGCACAAGGGCATTCATTTGTGGTGACTAGAAGTCAGCATCAAATATATTCCACTACCACTATCCACCTGATTTTATTTTTGAGACATTGTCTGTCACTGAAGCTGAATGTGAATGATTGACCAGACTTACTGGCTAGAATCTCTGGATCCTTCTGTCTCTGTGCCCGTCCCTCACCCTGAGCTGTGATTGTAGAAACTTGTCACCACAGCTGGCTTTTTTATGTGAGTGCTGGGGATCTGAACCTCTGTCCTCCAGCTTCTGAAGCAAGCACTTTACCTACTGAGACAATCTGTCCAGACCTCTCAAGGAAATTTTAAAGACTGAGTCTCTAGTGAAAGAAATCTATGAAAATGCAAATATAATAAATAAAATTATTTAGATAGCAGTTTTGGATTGAATTGTGTCCTACAAAAGAAGATACACTGAAGTTCTAATCTTTGACACCTCAGAATGTGACTTTCCCTGGAAATTGGATTTGTACAATGAGCAACTACAAATTTAGATTTGCATTATGATATCTAAGAGTCAGCAAATAATAAAGGTACATACATAATTTGAACAGATGAAACTTCTTAAGAATTTTGGTGTTTTTTTCCTGAAAATATTTTATAGTGAGTTTTCCAGCATGTATGTTTTTGCTAGTAAAAACCATATCTATCAATAAACGATCAAGCTAGACTTCTATATACATTAATGGACTCATCATAATTCTGAAAACAACAGGGCAAAAACATAAGCAAAATGTAGGGTTCTTCCTGGGTCCTCTAACTCTACAAAGTGCTTTCCCAACAAACTGGATATTTCTGTACTGAGGAGAGATAAACCCCCAAAGAGGCTGTATCTCAAATCACTGGTGCTGAGTAAGGGGGAATTTGTAGAGGTCTCTTTAGAAAATGTTGAGATTTTTCTGTTAAAGCAACTTTTGTTTCTTCTTCATAAATATTTGAAACAAATAAATTGAAAGGAGAAAAACACCCAGAAGTATTTTACCAGGAACAAAGTACTTATCAATAAATTATCACTAAGTACATATCGTAGAATATCATTAATCTTAAAAGCTTTCTATACTGAAATAGGAGATTGTTCAGAGCAAACTGCTAGTCTTATCAAACAAGAGACAATGTCCATGGTTCAATGTCTGCAGGCTCTACCTATCTGTACCTTATAAAATTATGAACCTGTAAACAGCACTGCTATTAAGTAGCAGTGGCATATACTATATAATATACACATAAAGTATATGTGTGGTGTGTATGTGTGTGTGGTGTGTGTGTAGTCTGTCTGTATGGTGTGTGGTGTGTGTTTGGTGAGGTGTGGGCATGCGGTGGCATGTGTGGTGTGTATGGTATGTGCTATGTATGTGATGTATGCATGTGTGTGTAGGGTGATGTGTGTGTGTGGTGTGGGGCGTATGTGTTGTGTGTGTGTGTGTATGTGTGTGGGTGCTGTGTGTGTGTGGCGTGATGTGGGGGGTATGTGGTGTGTGTGTGTGTGTGTGTGTGTGTGTGTGTGGTGTGGGGGGTATGTGGTGTGTGTGTGTGTGTGTGTGTGTGGTGTGGGGGATATGTGGTGTGTGTGTGTATGTGTGTGGGTGCTGTGTGTGTGTGGCGTGATGTGGGGCGTATGTGTTGTGTGTGTGTGTGTATGTGTGTGGGTGCTGTGTGTGTGTGGCGTGATGTGGGGGTATGTGGTGTATGTGGTGTGTGTGTGTGTGTGTGTGTGTGTGGCATGATGCGTGTACGAGGTCTGTGTGTGTGTGTATGTGTGTGGGGGGTGTGATGCGTGTATGAAGTCTGTGTGTGTGTGTATGTGTGGGGGGGGCGTGATGCGTGTATGAGGTCTGTGTGTGGATGCCTGAGGTTGACAACAGCAGGTGTCTCCCTCATTTGCTCCCCACCTTATGTTGTGCGTCAGGATTCCTTACTGGCCCCAGCCACCTGCCATACGCTGAGATACCAGGTAGGCTTCTACACCCACCTGGCTGCCTGTGGATTCTGGAGTCGGAAATACAGTTCTCACTCTTGCGCAGCAAACACTTTACTCCTTGGGCCATCTTCCCCTCACTGGAAACCTTATTTAAATAAATCCGTTATGAATATTACTATACAGAAAAATCCACGTACTTGAATTAAGAACATTACCTTATGGGGCTAGAGAGAGAGATGGCTCAGCAGTTAGGAGCACTGGTTGTACTTACGGAAGACTCAGGTTTGATTCCTAGCATTCACAGTGTGGCCCACAACTGTCTGTGACTCCACTCCCAGGGGATTTGATGCCCTTTTCTGGCCTCTGTGGACACCAGCTACACACATGGTGGGCAAACATATATGAAGGCAAAATACTCATACATATAACAAAATTTTAATTGATTCTTAGAAACAGCATTGCTTTATGACAAAAATGTCACCTCCATTCCCAAAATAATATACATGCATATATGGTTTAGAAATTCCAATACTTAATTAGTCTCTAAAGTATGTTTCACATATTTGATCTCATGTGAATACCTGAGAACTCATTTTCTGTTCTGGCTTTTCTACTCCCTTTTGTGTGCAAAGGTCATTTTTCTAGGACCCTGTCTAGTAATATTCTGGCGCCTAATTCTCAAGCAAGTCTGTTCCTCGTGTTGTTTCATTCATATAGAACCTAGAGATACATTTCATTAAGTTTTTGAACCAATACCATTAGAGACAAAAGTCTAAAAGATTAATTAAGAACAGAGCCTTCAAAGGGGCTCTTAGAAAAAAGAATTCTATTAATACACAAGGCGTTTTCGCCTTCATGAATTTCTTGACTTTTAATTGAATGAATAGCAGCTAAATCTATCAAAGAACAAAACAGTTCTCCCACACATAGTACTTTGAAACAAAAAAAGTCTTTTTTCTTTTTCTTTCATTTTAGGTGTCACCTCCACATGTAACCCACTGTTTCCCAAGGCTGAGGCTACATTAAAATATTCTATAAAATATTTAACTGGGTTCATTAACAGTTTCAAAGCTGATCAACCTAGCTCTGACATAACATTTTGTTTTCACCCTAAATAGCCATCATGGATCACAGAGCATTTTGATCAACAGTGGACCACATATTCAGTAGTGGCTCACAGGGATTATATTGCTGTGTGTTGTAGCAGATGTTGTTAAGTTTGTATGAGAACACTCTTGTGGCTGGATATGATGGTGCATACCGTTAACACCAGCACTGAGAAGGCAGAAACAGGCAGATCTCTATGAGTTCCAGGTCAATTAGGGCTACATAGTGAGTCTCTGATTTCTGAAATAATTTTGAGAGAGAAAAAGAGTGTAGAGTTGAAGGAGGCATAGGTGTAGAGAATGTGGGAGGAAGTGGAAGAAGGGAAACCATGATCAGAATATATTGTATAGAAAAATTATTTTCAATAAAAAGTAGTGATGATAGCCGGGCGGTGGTGGCACACGCCTTTAATCCCAGCACTCGGGAGGCAGAGGCAGGCGGATCTCTGTTAGTTCGAGGCCAGGCTGGACCAATAGCCTCCGAAACAATACAGAGAAACCCTGTCTCGTAAAAACCAAAAAAAAAAAAAAGTAGTGATTATAACCCAAATTATTATGTTTTGTTTCCTATTGTTTTGAGCCAGTTTAAAACATTCATAATATCAGACAGTATTTCAACTAGAAGAATTATTTTGAATCTTTTTTTCCTTCAGTACTGATTTTCAAACCCAGAGCCTGGTGCAGGGTATCCAGTGAGTTTATCCCTGACCCTCATACACCTCTAGCTCCTGTGAACAAAGTTTCACTGGACTTCAACCATGCCCATTAATTGAATTAATTGATTGTCAATCAAAAACAGCAGAGACCTTATGGTATACATAAAATATTTACCACCTCTTTCTTTTCAGGAAATGTTTTCTGAAATGTTGATGGAATGTGAATGTCCACAGCTAATCCATTAGCAAGATCCAAGTAAATTTGAGGATCCAATATTTTAGTTCTCGTGCACTGGGAATAAAAAACACAATGTAATAGTCAGTTGTTTTTGTTGGTAAGCAGATGGAGCACCACTGTTCTAGGAAGTTTTGCAGCTCATCAGTCCAGCAGTGTGGCAGCCCTTAGCACAGAGTTAACTAAGGAAAAACTAAGTGCTATAACTATCCTGTAACTGGGAGGTCACCAGTACTCTGTGACTTCACCCCATAGGGAAGTGATTTCATGCTATATTTTATGGTTATACTCATTTACTTCCCAAGTATTTAAACTATCTCAAATTAATACAATAATGCTAGAATAAATATGTCTTTGTTGTTTTATGTTTGAACTTATAATGTAACTACAATCTCCCTTCCCTTCTTTCCCTTTTCTTCCCTTCCCTTTCTTCCCAAACCCTCAACATACCTCTCCCTACTCTCCTTCAAATTCATGACCTCTCTTTTCACTAATTGTTAATACAGAAATATATGTATGTACATATACATCTATGTTCCTAAATATAACCTCCTCAGTTCATATAATATTACTTGCATGCATGTTTTCAGAGCTGACCATTTGGATCCGGACAACTAATTGGTGTGCTCTTCCCTAGGGAAGATCACCCTTCACACTCACAAATTTCCTTAGTTGCCTGGAATTCTTTGTGCAGGAATGAGGCCTCGTGGGCTTTTTCCCATCCACTTTGGCATGCCCATTGGTGCCATCCGTGTTCAGCTTAGGGTTGGGCAATCATGTTGCTGAGAATAAATATCTGTTAGTTGTGTGTGTGTGTGTGTGTGTGTGTGTGTGTGTGGTGTCTAAAAGCCATTTGCAACAACTTAGGTGGATTTATGATCACATGGAAAACAAACTGTGAAGATAATTCCCTGAGATACTTAACTGAGAGGTGGAGACGCGCTGTAAATGGTGACAGCATCATTCCATGGGCTTGGGTCCTTCACTAAATACAAAAGAGGAAGCAGGTGAACACCAGCATTCATCTTTGCTTCCTGATTATGGGTACAATGTGACTAAGGCCACTATATGCTGCCACTGCCAAGCCTTATCTACCATGATGTACTGTGACTGCAAGCCATGAATGAAATACATCCTTCCTTCCTTAAGCTGCTTTTGTAACTGAGTAACTCATTTATATACAACAGAATTTTACTCTTGCAAAGATTTAAATGATGTCATTTTCAGGAAAATGAATGGAACGGAAGGAAAAATGTTTACCAGAATATAGCAGACCCCAAAGGATAAAAATATTCTCTCTCATATTCAGAATCAAATTTAAATGTATTTAAATGCAAATATTCATAAATTTGTTTGTACGTATGTGTGTACTTGTATAGGACACACATTTATACAGAGAAAGAGACTCTGGGAAGAAGGCAGCTGATCAGCAAGGAGCGTGTTGGGCCATCAGAAAACAGTGGGTAGGGCAAGCAAAATCAAATTATAGAACATATGGAGCTGGCTCTGCGATTAAGAACACTTGTTGCTCTTGCAGAGGACCTAGGTTCAGTTCCCAGCACCTACATGGTGGCTTAGAACTGTCTCTCACTCCAGTCCCAGGGCTCTGACACCCTCTTCTGACCTCTGTGGCCTTCAAGTATACATATGTGCACACAAAGTAAAAATAAACATTTAAAATAAAAGAATGTTGAAAAATCTGACCTGCTTGCAAACATGCTAGGGTAACGGTGGCACAGAACACTTGGCAGTGACCAACAAAAGGCTGACGCAACACTAAGCCCTTACCTATAATGAGTCTCAGTCCCACCAGCCAGCTCCCAAATAATGACACAGAAAGACTATTAATTATGAAAGCTTGGTCTTAGCTTAGGCTTGTCTCACTAGCTCTTATAACTTAGATTATCCCCTTTAGTCTAATCTACATTCTGTCTCATGGCTCCTTACCTTGTCTCTCCATACAGCTCGTGCTGCTTCCTCTGTGTCCGACTAGTGACTCCTCCCCTTTTTCCCAGCGTTCTCTCTCTGCCTTGAAGTCCTGCTTAGACCTCCCACCTAGATATTGACCATTCAGCATTTTATTACACCAGTCACAGAAATGTATTTCCACACAGTGTACAAATATGCCACAACACTTTACATGAGAGTTAGCCCACTTCTGACACTGCCTGGATGGCCAGGAACCAGAGGCAGGGCAGCACAGAGACCCAGGATAGAGCCAAACGAGACTGGCCAAAAAAAAATAAGGAAAAGCAATGGTTCCTAGTGGTGTTCTGTTATACTCATGGATCGATGCAAAGCACAGTTGTTATCAGAGAGATGGCATCCAGCAACAGGTAGGAGCAGATGCAGAGGCCCACAGCTGAACACTAGGCAGTGCTCAGGAACCCCACAGAAGGGGCTGTGGAAGGATTATAAAAGCTGTAGAGATCAAGGATACCACAAGAACACAGCTCGCAGCATCAGCCACCCAGGGCTTATAGTGGCTTACAGAGACTGAAGAGGTAATCGGGAGTCTGTAAGGGTCTGAGCTAGGTCCCCTGCATGCATGTTATAGTCGTGTAGTTTGGTGTTCTTGTGGGACTCCTAACAGTGGGAGCAGGGGCTGTCTCTGACTTTTTTGCCTGCTTTTGGTTACCCTTTTCCTTCTACTAGGTTGCCTTGTCCAGCTTTGACGTGAGGGTTTGTGCCTAGTTTTGTTGTAGCTTGTTATGACATGTTCGGTTGATATCCTGGGGCGGGGGGGGGGGGGACTGCTGTTTCCTAAAGGGAAACAGAGGAGAAGTGGATCTGGGTGAGAGGGGGAGGGTGTTGGGAGGAGTGGAGGGAGGGGAAACTGCAGTCAGGATGTAATATATGAGAGAATAAAAAGATAAGTGTCCCCTCTTCCTCTCTTTCCCGTCTCACAGTAAACTGCTGTGGCCAAAATTACCTGTAGTGAGTTGAAAGAAAGAACTTTAATGTCAGGAAATAGGAGAGTGGCTGCTGTGACTCTGTGTGTGTGTGTCTGTCTGTCTGTCTGTCTGTGTGTGTGTGTGTGTCTGAGTCTGTGTGTGTGTCTGTCTGTCTGTCTGTGTGTGTCTGAGTCTGTGTGTGTGTGTGTCTGAGTCTGTGCGTGTGTGTGTCTGTGTGTGTGTGTGTCTGTGTGTGTGTGTGTCTGTCCGTGTCTGAGTCTGTGTGTGTGTGTCTGTGTGTGTGTGTCTGTCTGTGTGTGTGTGTCTGTGTGTGTGTCTGTGTGTGTGTCTGTGTGTCTGAGTCTGTGTTTGTGGTTCTGAGTCTGTGCGTGCATGCGTGTGTGTGTGTGTGTGTGTGTGTGTCTGTCTCTGTCTGTCTGTCTGTGTGTGTGTCTGTCTGTGTGTGTGTCTGTGTGTGTGTCTGAGTCTGTCTGTGTGTGTCTGTGTGTGTGTCTGAGTCTGTGTGGTGTGTGTGTGTGTGTGTGTCTGTGTGTGTGTCTGAGTCTGTGTTTGTGTGTCTGAGTCTGTACGTGCATGTGTGTGTGTGTGTGTCTGTCTGTGTGTGTGTGTCTGAGTCTGTCTGTGTGTCTGTGTGTGTGTCTGAGTCTGTGTTTGTGTGTCTGAGTCTGTGCGTGCATGTGTGTGTGTGTCTGAGTCTGTCTGTGTGTCTGTGTGTGTGTCTGAATCTGTGTTTGTGTGTCTGAGTCTGTGCGTGCATGTGTGTGTGTCTGTGTGTCTGTGTGTGTGTGTCTGTCTGTCTGTCTGTGTCTGAGTCTGTGTGTGTGTGTGTCTGAGTCTGTGTGTGTGTGTGTGTGTGTATGTCTGTGTGTGTCTGAGTCTGTGCGTGCATGCATGTGTGTGTGTGTGTGTGTGTGTGTGTGTGGTGCCACAGTACACATTTGCATGGGAAGACAAAGCGCAACCTTGGGTGTCGTTCCTCTCTTCCCATCTTGTTTGAGGCGATGCCTCTTGCTCTTCTTCTGTGCTTACGTCATGAACATCCATGCTCAGATGTCCAGGGAGTCTCCAGTCCCTGCCTCACAACTAGGTGTAGGATAGGAATTCCGGAATTACATATATGTGCTTCCATGTCAGGCTTCATGTGTGTTCTGGGAATGTGAACTAAGGTCCTCGTGCAAGCATGGAAAGCACATAACCATTGAGCTGGAACATTTTCCTTACTGAATCTCTTGTCTGCAACTCTTTCATTCAGAAATTGTGGGTACTCTTTCATGGTTTCCTTGTCCTCTCTTTCCTCAATTGTTTCAAATCATACTCTGCTGGTATTCCTTTGACGTCCTTACTGTACACTTGTAGTAAACCTTACATGTGCATATTTTCTGAAAACTAACAGGATTAGCAATTTTTCTGACCCAGTTTTCAAAAAGGAAATAAATGAAAGCATGCACACAGTCTAACCACACACTTGTTATGTTAAGGTAAGTGAGTGCCACCTAGTGTTAAGTTTCTGCAACTACTAAACATGAATTTTAAATTGCTATTAACTCTTCAGCTTCTTCAAAATCTGTTACTGGTGGCGAAAGCCCATGAAAGCAATGTATATGAGATAAGATGTAGTATGATACATGATACATGATACATGATGCAGCCATTCACTAGGCCGACCATATTAGCGGTACTGATCGCAGAATCCTTTGACAGCTCCTAGGATTCTCAGAAACAAATCAGAGTATTTCCTGTAACATAACACTCCGAGAAACCATTAACACATCTCTCATTGTGGTCCTCCTCCCAACACTGGGTTCCTTTTTCTCCCTGTCCCTCTTTCTCTTTCTTCAGATTAATTTTCACTCTAACCCCTGCATTTGATCTTAACCTTAGTGCTCTTTTTTATTTATTCATTTATTTATTTAAGCTTTTATTCTTCTCTCATACATTACATCCCAAATGCAGTTCACACTCCCTCCATTACTCCAAGTCCCTTAACCCACCTTTCCTCTCCCCCAGATCAGCTCCTCCTCTGTATCCCCTCCAAAAAAAAGAGCAGGACTCACAGGGATATCCACCAAACATGCCAATAAGACTGGTTGCAAACCTCATGTCATGGCTGGACATAGCAACACAGTAGGAGGATAAAGGTCCCGAGCACAGGCAATGAGTCAGAGACACACTGGTCTCTCTAGCTTTGCTATGTAGCCCATCTGTTCACTAGTCTTGAACTATAGCTTTGATTCTGCTCTTTCAATTATTATATTGCAAAGTCACCATTGACACTCTCCAGCTGGCACTCTCATTCCTTATCTTGGGACTTACTCGCCTTCCTTCCTTCCTTCCTTCCTTCCTTCCTTCCTTTCTTTCTTTCTTTTTCTTTCTTCCTTTTTTTTTTATTTAAGTTAGAAACAAGCTTGCTTTACATATCAATCCCAGATTCCTCTCCCTCCCCTTCTCCCCCACCCAATAGTTCCCCCAGTCCCCCACCCAATCTCCACTCCAATGCCCAGGGAGGGTGAGGCCCTCCATGGAGGATCTTCTGTAATTGCCATTTCATCCAGAGCAGGGTCTGGCCCTCCTCCCAAGAGTCCAGGCTGAGAGAGCATCCCTCACTGTGGGATGGGCAGCCAAAGTCCATTTGTATGCCAGGGATAAATACTATCCAAGGCCCCCTAGATTACCTAGGCCTCCTCAGTGACACCCACATTCAGGGGCTCTGGATCAGTTCCATGCTGTCCACCCAGCCATCAGTCTAGGGTCCAAGAGTCCCCCCCTTGTTCAGGTCAACTGTTTCTGTGGGTTAAACCAGCCCAGTTTTACCCCCTTACTCTTGAGTATGACAGTGACTCCTCATGGGAGAATCCAAAGGAATACTATGAAGGTGTGTAGTGCATGGGATTTGTCCCCAGCTGACAAGGCAGGGTGAGCCTTGGAGATGTGTAAAGGACCTGAGTCCAGATGGACCACCATGCCAAAGATCTGTCTCACTTTACCTTAGAAATCACATGCAATTTGTCATGGTTGGTTTTAATGTCAACTTGCCACAAATTAGAATCACCTGAGTGGCACCTACCCAAAGAACTGCCATGATTACCTTAATTGATGTGGGAAAGCCAGCCCCTGCTGTGGGTGACACCTTGTGGCAGCCGGGAATGAAAGTGGCCAGGTCGGAAGGAAGGTCACTGGGCCTTTTGCTTGCTTGTCCGTCCCTCTGAGATCAGTGACTTACACTGTTGCTGCTAATGATGCTTCCTCAGCTGACGTCAGAGCCTGCTTTACCAGGCTTCCTTTTTCCACCAACGACCAGCACCTGCCCAGGAACCTTGCAGGTTTGGGGCACTGGGTGGGGACTGCCATGAGGAGTGAGCAACAGTGTGTTTGTCATCCTCTCCAGTGTGAGGCAGTCAGCATGAGAGTATTCCAAATGCTGGGGCTCCCAGCCTTAAGACAAAACAACTATGGGGTCCTCGGCCTCTCCGTGGTGAGACAACTGTGGTTATGATTTTAAAGCATGCCAGTAAACAGTGTTCCTCCATGCTCTCTGCCTCAGCACCTGCCTTGGCTTCCTAGCCATGATGAACTGTAACCTGTAAGCCAAATGAACCCTTTTCTCCCCAGAGTTGCTTTTGGTCATAGTATTTATCGCAGCAAAGGAAAGCACTCGGTCGACATCTGGTCTACTCTAGGACATCTGTGAAACTCATCCCTAGAACTCGTTCTTACGAATCAAAAAGGACCCATGAGCCATGAATGAAGCAGCAGTTTGCCAGCTCTCCCTCCACAGCTGTCCCTTGATGTTCTGCTTTCCACTTCTGCTGAGGGAAAGTCAACTGTATCTGTTCTTCTGTGGCCTGGCCTGCTCTCACACAGCTTCACACCCTGAACGTGTGTCTAGGAGTTTGTAGTATACCTCAGATTGCCCATGCCAGGGGCAGGGGCAAGGACATAGTTGAACACACCTGCAGAGCCAGAAGGATCGACAGTTACGGGCAAAAAGAAAAGCTAGGCTTTGAACAAAAACCAAAAACACTCAATAGAAAACCCTGGGCTCTATTTCTAGCAGGCAGGCAGCTTCCACCATCATCTATACTTCTAA